AATTTCGAAAAAATTATGTATTTGAATTGTGCCACGAATTACACAGGTTTAAAAGATAATTTTTGAGCTCAAGAAAATGAGCATGTTCAGTCGATAAATATGGCCGTCATTAATCTAAACCTGTTTGCAAAAAGGCGGGGCTTACAAAGAAATGCTCATAACTGGTTAGGGTTAGGGTTTAGGCTTAGTGTCACCCCTACACACACACACACACACACACACACACACACACACACACACACACACACACACACACACACACACACACACACACACACACACACACACACACACACACACACACACACACACACACACACACACACACACACACAACACACACACACACACACACACACACACACACACACACACACACACACACACACACACACACACACACACACACACACACCACACACACACACACACCACACACACACACACACACACACACACACACACCACACACACACACACACACACACACACACACACACACACACACACACACACACACACACCGGCTCTGCTGGCGGCAAAATCAATTACAACAGACACCTATACACTCCACAACAGACACCTACTGACTGTACTACACACACATACAGCTCCTAAAGCATATAATGTAGATCAGGCTACAGCCCTTGTATATTTTATTATGTGAAGCACGATATGGTTTCATGAAAAATATCTACTGTTTACTTGTAGATATCTACTAAAGCATCCAAATAAAGTGTGTAATGTAGGCCTGTTACATATATTATTGATGTTCTCACTGCAAACATCGCGTCACAATGAAAGCGATTGTATTAAAAATAAATAGCCTAACATCCAGGGGAGATGTGATTAGTGAGTAAACAAACGGTAAAGGGCAGAAAGTCTGATGCACATTTCATCATCTTGAATAACTTATAATCACAACGGGAACAGTTTGCAGAGCTGTGCTTCGTTGACAGAAGTCCAGCCATGCGTCACACCTCTTTTAAACATCACTGTTGGCTGAAATCGACTCTGGAGAATACTTCAGTGTACCCTCGGTTATAGCTCCTCCAGAGACACTCCTCTCTCCTCTACATCTTTGTACCCTCGGTTATAGCTCCTCCAGAGAGACTCCTCTCTCCTCTGCATCAGTGTGCCCTCGGTTATAGCTCCTCCAGAGAGACTCCTCTCTCCTCTAAATCAGTGTATCCTCGGTTACGGCTCCTCCAGACAGCCTCCTCGATAATCGATCCTCGACGACCCTTTAGAGAAATTTGTTTTCCTTCGAGACGGCGCGCCGACATCCGTTTCCGGGTCGCTGCCGGAGGACCTGGGAGTCTGGGACGCGAAAATTATAGAAATGAGAAACGGCTCATTTCCTAGGACTCGCGCGCGTCTGCTTGACGCCGGGACGACCGGCTGCCCTCCCCGACAGGCGCACGGACGCGAGGGCCCGCTCATCACTGCGCGCACAAGTGTGACCGCAGTTTTCATTATTATTATTATTAACATGGACTCCAGGATACTCTGCAACTTCTACAGGTGCACCATAGAGAGGATCCTGACCTTACAGGTGCACCATAGAGAGGATCCTGACCTTCTACAGGTGCACCATAGAGAGCATCCTGACCTTCTACAGGTGCACTATAGAGAGCATCCTGACCTTCTACAGGTGCACCATAGAGAGGACCCTGACCTTCTACAGGTGCACCATAGAGAGGATCCTGACCTTCTACAGGTGCACCATAGAGAGGATCCTGACCTTACAGGTGCACCATAGAGAGCATCCTGACCTTCTACAGGTGCACCATAGAGAGCATCCTGACCTTCTACAGGTGCACTATAGAGAGCATCCTGACCTTCTACAGGTGCACCATAGAGAGGATCCTGACCTTCTATAGGTGCACCATAGAGAGGATCCTGACCTTCTACAGGTGCACCATAGAGAGGATCCTGACCTTCTACAGGTGCACCATAGAGAGGATCCTGACCTTCTACAGGTGCACCATAGAGAGGATCCTGACCTTCTACAGGTGCACCATAGAGAGGATCCTGACCTTACAGGTGCACCATAGAGAGGATCCTGACCTTCTACAGGTGCACTATAGAGAGCATCCTGACCTTCTACAGGTGCACTATAGAGAGCATCCTGACCTTCTACAGGTGCACCATAGAGAGGATCCTGACCTTCTACAGGTGCACCATAGAGAGGATCCTGACCTTACAGGTGCACCATAGAGAGCATCCTGACCTTCTACAGGTGCACCATAGAGAGCATCCTGACCTTCTACAGGTGCACTATAGAGAGCATCCTGACCTTCTACAGGTGCACCATAGAGAGGATCCTGACCTTCTATAGGTGCACCATAGAGAGGATCCTGACCTTCTACAGGTGCACTATAGAGAGCATCCTGACCTTCTACAGGTGCACCATAGAGAGGATCCTGACCTTCTACAGGTGCACCATAAAGAGCATCCTGACCTTCTACAGGTGCACTATAGAGAGCATCCTGACCTTCTACAGGTGCACTATAGAGAGCATCATGACCTTCTACAGGTGCACTATAGAGAGCATCCTGACCTTCTACAGGTGCACTATAGAGAGCATCCTGACCTTCTACAGGTGCACCATAGAGAGCATCCTGACCTTCTACAGGTGCACTATAGAGAGCATCCTGACCTTCTACAGGTGCACCATAGAGAGGATCCTGACCTTCTACAGGTGCACCATAGAGGATCCTGACCTTCTACAGGTGCACCATAGAGAGGATCCTGACCTTCTACAGGTGCACCATAGAGAGGATCCTGACCTTCTACAGGTGCACTATAGAGAGCATCCTGACCTTCTACAGGTGCACCATAGAGAGGATCCTGACCTTCTACAGGTGCACCATAAAGAGCATCCTGACCTTCTACAGGTGCACTATAGAGAGCATCCTGACCTTCTACAGGTGCACTATAGAGAGCATCATGACCTTCTACAGGTGCACTATAGAGAGCATCCTGACCTTCTACAGGTGCACCATAGAGAAGATCTGGAACTACAACTTTTTTTTGCAAATCTTTTTACCCCTTTTTAGTCCCTGCTAGAGAGCAGGGACTTTCCTGGAGAGAAAAAGGTTCCAATTTCTGATTGGCTGGGCGAATGGCAAACCACGCCCCGTAAAACTCTGAAAGGTTTTTATGAAGCCGCCATTTTCTTTGGCCCGGCATATGTACTACAGCGTCTCCAGCATTTTCGAGCGTGTTCGTGTGGACGGACCAAGCCCCCAGGAAGTGCGCCAGACTCTGTGCCCAAAATTCGGCAGTACTACAATCAGTCCGTGACGTCACCCGGCACAGAAATACTTTTTCCCATTGACTAACATGGGGAAAGACACGTCTGTAAATCAGCGGATAATTTTTTTTAAACTACCGAGTATGAACTATTGTATGGCCATTATTAGAATCATTAGGCAATTTCACACCGGAGTACTCTTCCCAGGAATAGTTCCGATAGTTCCTGGGATTTTGCGTTCACACCAAAAAGATCTGGAACTGGAACTTTTTTTCGGGAACCTTTTCACCCCTTTTCAGTCCTTGCTAGAGAGCAGGGACTGCAAAGGGGACAAAAAGGTTCCAATTTCTTATTGTCTGGGCGAATTGCAAACCACGCCCCGTAAAACTCTGAAAGGTTTTGTGAAGCCGCCATTTTATTTGCTCGTATTAGCATTATTAGCATTAGCATTAGCCCAGCGCACTAATGGAGAGAGACTAACTTATGGCAACACAAAAGAAAACATGGGAGCGGTGGAGATGAGGAGGTGTCTGCGTTCTATGGCGATTTACTCGGAAGGCTTCAGTAGAAGCTGCTGGGAGCCCCAGCAGCTTCTACTGAAGCCAGTCCCCAACTCCGGGGACTTCCGGCCGGGGACTTCGGGTGGCAGTATACGCCGTGAAGTTGTTTGCGGCCTGCCAGTAAACCCAAAGCAGAAGAAGAAGAAGTGACCAGCGGTTTCTTTTGCGTAATCCTCCCTCAGGGACTTATTCCGGTGTGAACGCAATCTACTAGATAGTTCCGGAACTAAAGATTTCCAGGGAACTAAGTTCTGGGAACTATTCCTGGGAAAAGTACTTGGTGTGAAAGCGCCTATAAAGTCCTTTAAGTTGTAAAATGCACTAAAAGCCGAATCTAGATTTATTTTCTCTCTCCATTCATTCTAGTGAGCCGAGAGTGGGCGCTCGGGGGGCGGGGCTTAAGGGGCGCATGCTCTATGACTGCACATACGGGTTCTTCTGCTCCGACAGCCAGGCATGACAGGTAATCTGTGACGTTTCGCTCTCTCAAAAGTTGGGCCATTTTGCCTTCATGCGCCAATGAGCAGCTCTCATAGGAGAGAACGAGACCCCGCCTCCGACGCTGTATCCAGTTCTTATTATACAGCCATGGGATGGACACGTTTCTTGAGCCGTTTCCGTGTGGACGGAATACTTTTTTAAAATCGACTTCGGTTCGAAATCGGTTTCGTCTCGTGTGGATGGCTTCAGGTGAGGATCCAGAATGTCTGAAGAGACTCAGACCCTAGATATATCTCTTCTTTTTCATTTGAAGACTGAAGTTAGGGCATCATTCTGCCCCTGGACAAGCTTCTTTTATGTGATCAATTAAAGAGACATTTGTTTATTTGTTGTACTCTGAGTTCATTAACAACTGCCTCAGACCTTGCGTACGATTGTCATGAACCTGATGGAAATGAGCTATAATCTGGCATATTGCATCTCTTCTCTTTGCTGAGATTAATGTATGCATGGTCCATCTATAAATACATACAAATACAAAAAAATAAGATGCACCTAATACTCAAGATGATGATCTTCTAAAAAAGGGGTTGCTCCAGCTAAAATATGAAGAGTATATGTTCTCCCTTTCCTACAAAGATATGTAGCTATCGAAATAGTTAGCCATCTCAAAACTGTTCAGTGTTCAGTTTCTTGTGTGAAGCGAGGCCTTCAACGTAGCAAAAAAACAAGGTCAGACATACACTTCCATGCATTCTTTATTCCATTATAATCATTAAAACATCCATTGTGCTGCCTTCCTGCAACTACCACATGTATGACAATCTGCTTCACAACATGTTTAAGGCTCATCTGATTTACACATCACCAACATCTGATACTGTGAGCTTCATCTGCCTTTCATTTGCATATTGTGATTCCAGTGTTAAAAGCAACAATACTAGACAGCCCTGCGTGAGGGCTAATATGTATAGTGAAGATATATCATTACAGAGGAGTATCGTACAAACCAGCTCCGGAGACAGTGTAAACCTATCAAGAGTTAGACTGGAAAAACCTCGTAAAAATGTCAGTATCAAAACAATAATCAGGACTGGAGTGGGGTTTTCATCAGCTTAAAAAAGAGGAGCCACAAGACGAACAGTAGAGATGATCAGGGGCTCGTCATTCAAAAACATCAGCCATACATTAAAATAATAAAAACACAGACACTCAAATGACAAACCACTTCACAGCAGTAAACGGACCAATCATCGATCACACAAGTTGCTTTGAAATATCCCTCAAACACAATCCCTCTAATCAGCAGGCACGGGATAGTGTCTCTTTTACTCTATTGTGATTGTTTAACATGATTTAGTGTTTAGCTTAATGGTTTAGTGTTTTACTTTGCAAGGGGAAAATAAGAAATGATTGAGATACAATTGATACAAAGGTTGGAGGTGATTGCATGCGTTGCACACTTCAGATTTCCCCACGGTGGTTCTGTCAGGTCTTTGGAGTTCCAGCTGGGTGAAGATAACGCCATCACAGCTCAGCAGACGGAGAAGGTGGAGGAGAGCCCACACGGCTCAGAGGCTGAATCTGGTTTTAGTACCTTGCTCTCACCTCAGTATTCAACCGTCTGGCTTCCACAGTGATTGACTGATACCTCTGATGAATAGCAGCAGTTTTAAGACCACGGAGCCTGCTGTGGTTCACAGGACTGGCTGAAATGTTTACGAACATAAGGCTTTTTAGTAGTAGTAGTGAGAAATGAGTGAAGACACCCAGACCTCGAACACCTTCACATGGAGCAGGATCACAGTTCAGTCTGCAGGTGAACAGCTTCAGCCTACAGTACTGAGTCAAGTCTTATCAGCACATGATCTGCAGTTAACAGAATGGTAGCGCGGTGCCTGCTGCTCTCTCTTCAGTAAAGGTACAGTTAGTGAGGATGTCAATGCCTCCCCAAAATATCCATGCTAGTTAGACTGTGGGCTATGGACCAATATGTCTGTTTGTTGCGATGGCAAGGCGTATCTATACTCTGCAACACAGGCTGATAAGATCCATTCACTGAATGACCTTTTAAGGCATTTTACTTTAATTGTTAGGTGGTCTGGTAAAATCAGCATTACATTTTGCATTTAGATAATCCACCAATCAAAATGTATTTCAATAAACAACTTCGATTCATATCCATCTTTACTGCAGACTTCCATGAAGCACCATCTGCACAATTATTGTACTCTTTCTAAATGTCTTTGTGTTTAAGTTGCTGTCTGTATGCTGATTTAACCAGGAGCTTCACAAGTTCAAAGACTGGACTCTCCCAGAACAGTTTGAGAACCTTTGAGCTAGAGAAATTGCTAGATTGTTTAATAAAGTTAGGTTTACCGTCTTCCTGTATGAGAGCAGCACGCATCAGGACTACAAAGACTCTCGTCAACAGCTTCTGTACACACCCACTGAAAAAAGGTTCTACCTGCAATTAAGAAAAAACGTGGAATGCAGATAACAAAAGAAAATCAACATTCATATTCAAACACAAAAGCAAAAATCATTACCTGAAAATATGTGCACGTCAAAAGTGCAATTGTTTGGTAAACCCTGAATGGTAACTTAAAAATACAGAAAAAGTAAAAAACTTCATTTGTCTCAAGGTGCAAAAATTGATGCTTCCTTCACTTGGTATAAAAGAATACAAAAATCAAGCTTGCAAAGACTTGGTCAAAAAAAAAAGGAGAAACAGAGGGAAATATGGACATGTGACCAACTGGAGCTGTGGAGCAGGAGGGGGGGCGGAGTGAGAGGAGGAAGGGAAGGAGAGTTCAGAGTGAATCCAGACACGGTGTCCACATGAAAAGCAGCTGCCAGGGGGTGGACAGCCCGTGTTCAGCCAGAGCCCCCCCCCCCGGCTCCCGACTCCTGGCCGCACCTCAACAATCTAAAACCCTCTTTTTCCAATCGCCTACACATTCCTCCCCAGAAGGGCTCTGGGACAGAGAACCAGTCCTGCCCGATGCTAGAAGCTGGGAGATGATAAGGAGTGTGTTGAGATGATCCCTGGCCTCAGTACTGAACCCCCACCTCCTCAGGAGGAGGGCAGCTCGAAGGAGATGAACTGCTTGAGTCTCTCCAGGTACTGGGCGTACAGTTCAATGTCGTTGTGCCCGGCCCCCTCTACCCAGAGGGGCTCCACGGCCCGGGGGCAGCGCTCGTACATGGCCAGGCCGTGGGAGAAGTCGATCACCTCGTCCTCCGTCCCGTGGATCACCAGCACCGGGGACGCCACCTTGGACACCTTGTCGATACTGAGAGGAGACAGAGACAGCAGGGGGTCAGGGGACAACTCAAAACATTCATCTGTGACAATGGGCTGACAAATAGATCATCTTAAATTACACGGCTAAACTGGCTACTCAATTCTGGATCTTTGGACGTTTTAGAGGTCTGTTCATTTTCCTTAACCTGTTTAGCCCTGAGCCTGTTTTTCAGGTCTCAGGCTCGAAAATGACATTCCCAGAACAAATGACCATATATTCCCTTCTAAAAGGGTTAAATTAATAATCTTTGTTTTCAAAGTAATGATAAACCTGTGAGTTAGATGTAGAAAAGTCAGAATCAATATAGATGTTTTTTATTTTAAAGAAAATTCAGATTGAACATAATAAAAAACTGTAAATTATAGTGTCCGTCCAAAAATTATTTTTTACTTATAGTGAAAACTACCCTTGGATGATGGTAAGGTAGACTAAAAGCTTTAGGAATCCAAAGTACAACATATAATAAGTACCCTGTATCAAGATTGATGCAAAACAAGTGATATTTGACCTTTTTGGAGAGGTTTAGCAAAATAAACTCCACCTCTGAGGTGATTTGGGTGGAAATGGGGGTTTTAACGTTTCTCTGGAACCCATTGGTCGATTTTGGTGATTGACATCTCTTTCTGACCGTTAGAGTCAATAGAATCACACATGGATTATCAGAAATCATTCAAAGGGACACAGACGCATTGGATTAACCTATGGATTCTTCAGCAGCGTTTTTATCGTTTTAATGCCATTGAAGACCACGTTTGACCAGACTACGACACAGGTGAGCCATGTTAGCGTTTTTAGCTACCTAGCACAACATGTTTTGATGTCTGTTCTTGTTATTATCTCCGCGTATCATTGAGTGATAATGAGGCTACCCTTTGATTCTGTGTCACCTCACGATGTGAAACGATGGGTTGGATGTGCACCAAAGATAAATAATAAGGTTTTGTGAGTGAATTTCGGTGCAGTCATCTGTTAGCATTTTTAGCTCGTTGCTAATTCAGAGGCTCAGCAATAGCATTGTGGGTTTTTAAAAAAAAAAGTTTTTTAAATGATCAGTTAGATGAGTTTCTTCTCGTTACATGGATATAAAACATTCATAGTTTATTAAATGAACATGCCCTCAGACACTGTTTCCTGCGGGAGGGCCCCGGTACCGGGGTCTCTCGGGCTTAACAGGTTAAGCAACCGTTGCCAAGGAGAACAGACCGTTGCTGAGGAGGATCGGACTATGTTCAGACCACCGAGTGTTACTTAGATTTATTAAAGGTGGGGTAGGTAAGTTTGAGAAACCGGCTCGAGATACACTTTTTCTTATATTCCATGGAATGCTCTTAACATCCCGATAGCAATGAATATATTAAGTCCTTTGTGGAATCTGTGGAAGCCGTAGTACTGTAAAAAGCACGACCAATCATTTGAGCCGGCCCGGCTAAAATAACTGCCTGTCAGCCTTCCATCTGTGCACAAACTTATCTCGTGCCCTCATTGGTCATGTGTTCGTTCGTGTGTGTTGGAGGAGGGGCTCTGTAAGGAAGTGGCAGATTTTTTCCGGCTGTGTATTTTCAAATGCTAGTGTATTCGAGCTAGTTTCTCCAATATTACCTACCCACCTTTAAAAGGGAGGGAATTCTCATGACACGCATTTTTAAATAATTATCATCCGATAAAACAGACCAGTCTCTGTCAGTCTTTTCTTTTTCTTTTTTTAATCCGATGACGTTATCAGTGATTTTAAACGGATTAATTACCGAAATAACATCAACCCTGTGGGCGGCGCCATTTTACCGGAAGTGACGTAAACTATGCGTTTGGTGTTGAGGACAAATTGATGTTCATGTTGTTTACTCTAGTTACTCTCTCAATTCTATAGAAATATGCCTCATTGTATCGCGAAACATTGACACAATTCGGATAGGAACAATCCACGGAATGCTCGGTTCCATCTATTGCCAAAAGGTAAGCGTAGGAAGTACGTTCGGAGGCAGTGGCTAGCGAAATGTGGCCGGCCCGAACCGAAAGATCCACAGGCGCATGTATGCAGCGAACATTTCAAGTTTCCGGACGACTACTCTGAGAGTATGATAAAACATAACATGGGATTTATTGAACAACCATTACTTAATGGAGATGCAGTACCATCGGTCTTTCTGGTGTCATCACCGACCACGACACCAGTTCGGCCAGTTGAGAAATCGCCCTCTGCAAGTGTGAAGCGACGGAGGACCAGAAGTAGTGGTAGGAGTAAGAATAAGGTATGTTATGGCGCATTTCCATTGCAGCGGGTAGCCCCGTTTAAACGTCCTTTAGCGTCCAGGCCAGGCCAGTTTTTGGTGGCCTTTCCATATAGCGTAGTACCGGCTAGCGGGTACTTTTCCCCAGTTTTTCCGGTGTCAGTACCAGATGTGTTCGGGGTACCAGATGTGTTCGGGTGTATTTCCGTCGCATCCGTCATATGACGGATTGTACTGCAACTCAAGAGGGCCATCACGGTCAAATTCCGAACATTTAAACATAGCCGACACTTCATTCTTTACTTTGTCCGTTATTATATGTAGAAGATTATACTTTTTCTCCGTCATGTTGTTTCCATAGCAACAACTTCAAAATGGGATAGCCTACACTTCATTCTTTACTTTGTCCGTTATTATATGTAGAAGATATTAATTTTTTCTCCGTCATGTTGTTTCCATAGCAACAACTTCAAACAATTACAACTAACCGCTTGCCGCAAAGCTAGCATCACAGCCACTGCTCCGTTTTCGGAGACTTTGCACACGTTTTTCACAAACATTTTCACACGCTAGGAGTACTTCCACTAGCTTCGTCTTGATCTGTAGATGTGATTTGATGTGTTGTGTGTCCCCCAACTCCTCTCCAAAGTTCAGATACTATATAAAAATACTAAAAGGTAAATAAAACATTAAACATAATGACAAAATAACAACCTGAAATATATGTATTCTATCTACACATTTCGTAATTATCTAATCTAGTGGCCTTATAAAAATGTTGGCTAAAGTAACGCAGAATATATATATTTTTTTAATTGTAAATAATTAGAAACATTATTTATGTGCACAAGTACATGGGACCCCACCATAGCACCCCACACATAACAAGCTGTCCCGAGTTCCTCCGGCTGCAGTTCCGCAGACGGCCGGTGTGTGGCAGCAGAGCGCTGGGAGCAGAGGGACGTGAGTATATGACGGATATGACGGAAATACACCCGAACATATCTGGTAGCCCGAACATATCTGGTACTGACACCGGCCCCATAAAATCGTGGTTCTAGGGCCAGGGACAACAAGGCTGAGTATGCTAAACTAGAGAGGGAATCGCTAGCAAGGGTGGTACTACATGCATACATATCTAGTAATCAAAATCATTGTATCTACTAAGTAGGCCTAAATTGGGGTTGTATTGTTTGCCTTTTTAGAAAACTTTATTTTATATTATTTGGGCAGTACATGATATACACAATTGTATTGTTTGCCTGTAGTTGGCCTTTTAATTAATAAAATATTTGAATTTGAAGTTTTGTAGATAGGGATCTTTTGGAATTATCTAGTCTTTGTAATTGTCCGGTGACGTTTCTCAGACTGTCCAGACTGCTTTAATTCTCTAGCTTAAATCAGTAAATGTTCTAAAATGTTTGCTGGGCCCCTGACAATACTCAAATACTCCGCCATGTTTTCGTGTGTTTACAAAGTGAACGCATGGATGACGTCACGACCATCACGTGACTACTGAAAATGGCCAAAATGGCAGCTGCCTGACGGAATATACAGGTTTTGATCAAAAAGAGCTATAAAATCATTATTTACCGGGGAATATCGCTGATTTCTTCAGGGTATGGTTTAAACATAATGTCTCACTAAATACTGAAGTTTTGATTAATTATCTAATGAGTGGAGCATTCCTTTAAGGAGCAATAGTAAATATACAAGAGAAAAAAAAGGCCATACTTTTTCAGAAAAGTGTACATTTTTAAAGCTTTATACAATAACTTAATCTCTCAAAACGTATTCCATTTAAAGCATTTAAGTGCCACATTTCATTATTGGCTCAATAAGCTATTAACGTATTTAACCAATCCTAAAAAAATATGTTCCAAGTCAGTTTAAAAACATATAAAAATGTTGAATCTCTTCTTACTTTGTTATTTTCATAAAGCCCTTTTGCTTTAAAAAAAAAAATGGCAGTACATTTAACTTTAAACTAGGAAGATTAAATGGGCATAATTCAAATTCAATATATTAACCCCAAACTGCTCCCATATATTTTACTTAACTGTGAAAACACCACATTTGAACTGATCATGATAAATGTACCTCTAAACCCGATAAAAGTATTAATAGCCCCGATAATATAAAATATATCTTTTGGGTAAAAAAAAGAAAAAAATACTGCACTGTGGGTGGATTGGCATGAGGGGCGCTTGTTTTTCACTCGGCTCCTCCCGTTTTGCCAGTACTGTGGTATTAGTGGTTTAGGAAGAGGGGAGTTTTTCATAAATCCAGCGCTCCCTCACTCATGCCTGGCTGTGACGTAAATGGTGTGCGGCCGTGAAGCCAGGACAGTAAACAAACATGTCGTCGGTAGTATGGGACTATTTCAAAGTTTCAGAGTTAGATAGTTCGCTTGCTATTTGTATTAACAAATGCAATGCAGAAGTTCCACGAGGAGGGAAAAAGGCAACAAGCTATAATACTGCCAACCTGATTAGTCACCTGAAACATCGCCATCGCTACGATGGTGTGTTAAAAGCGTTAAACTAGCGGCGAATCCAAAGCCAGCTGCAAAGGCACCTACAGGTACATTTAATATGAGAAGCAGGAAGTTATCGGTATCGGTATCGGTTTCAAAAAACCAATATCGTGCATCCCTAGTTCACACCAAGTACTTTTCCCACAAAGGTTCCTGTGAACTTAGTTCATGAGAACTCTTTTAGTTCTCATGAACTAAAGCAGATCGCGTTCACACCGAAATTA